CACGCCTAGACTTTGCACGACATCTAATAAGTCGGCTTCATGTTTTTGGGGTTCCGTACCCAAAGGTAAAACGGGACCCTATTACTAAGACTGCGCTGTCTGTCTGTCCGTCTGTAACCAGGCTGTATCTCATGAACCATGATATTAAGACACACAAAACACACATGATATATTTCTGTTGCCGCTGTAACAACGAAAGCTAAAAAACAGAATAAAAATATTTAATTGGGACTCCCATACAACAGACATAATTATTTGCCGCTTTTATAGGTATAGGTACGGTACCCTTCGAGCGCGAGTCCAACTCGCACTTGGCTATTGTTTTTTTTTAATTCTTTTAAAACGCTGAATAACTTCTTAGTGGAATCGTCTCGATATACATATACATAGCAGATTCTTTAAAGAACTCATTCCATTTATTTTTTGTCTAAATTATGCCACACTGGAGCCAGACGTTACGAGGTTGCCGACTGTACGAATATAAACTGTTTACGATATGATTTAGCGGAGGCTGCCAAGCAATTATAACGTACAATGGTAAAAAATCGAAAGCATAAGAACGCTTTTCGCGTGCACTGCAGTTCAAACGCATCTATATAACAAAAACGCTTAGCAACCGGGCCTGCGGGTTAGGTTATTATTAGGACGTATACGAACCTCAAGCTGCAATATTTAATATCCTACATCGTTCCGAACTAACCTTGTCTAATCTACTGTATAAATATAACGTTGGCAGAAAACCACGGTCGGACGGACTAATGCATACAGTTACCGAAGCCTTCTCGAAAATTCACGCTAATTGAATCACGAGTTTGTTAACCCCTTGGTTGTACTAGTTTTCACACCGTAGTCATAAACAACGCCATATTAGGTGGTGGCCAATAAGCTGAGCCGTCGATAGCCCGTAAGTATACATACGATGTTTGATCCGCGGAGCACATAGAAACGGGAGTGATCCTCGGTGCCGACAACAATGAAATTGTTAAATTTAAGTGCCGGACTATCACGTGAACAGCGGTGCAGGAAAACATCATTAGGAAACCTGCATATTTTCGAAGCAATAAAAAAATATTTCGTAGATATGTGCAGTGGGGCAGCGTGGACTATGCCCTGATACCCTCTGTACAGAGGAGGCCTATACATGTCCCACTGATGAGCAAAGGCCTCTGCCCAGCAGTGGGACATGTATAAACCGATACTTTACTTTTTACTTTTATACTCGAGAACCCTAAATGGAGCCAGCCCATACCACTCCGACGAAGATAGTTACCAGCGCCACCCATCCGGCACTAGCTGCCGGATGGGTGGCGCTGGTGGGAATGATTGTTGAACCGTGGGTCGAATTGATAAAAAATTGTATATATGCATGTGGCAGGCAGCTCTGGAAAACCAAATAATATGGTTACACTGGTAACTGATAGATTACGTTGGTGATGTGTAGTTAAATTTATTAAATTTTGAACATTAAATTTATTCGAATCAATCCAATCAATCCGCGTTGGTAAACCGACAAGTTTATTTGTTTCGTTCAAAATGGAAAAATATTGTTAATCTAAAGCAAGCTTTAGAATGACAAAAATCAGTAACAATAAAATAATGTTTTTTATTTACGTATTAAAAATGGTAGATTTTTCTAGGTGAAGCGAAGCGCACCGGGCACCAGCTAAATAATAATAAAATACGTGAGGAATTGAAAGGAGATGGCCACGTATACGCGCCCCTTTACGAAAGATTGTACAACATTGAACAGCCTTTTAGTCTCATAGTAAAACAGACTGCGAGATAAAAAAGCGGAATGAATAAAACCTCTTTCGAAAGATTCTTTTAGCGGAGCGTCGTGCGTATAATACCCCGGAGTTTATCCACGGTTATGAAATCGGCAGCCCCGGAGATGGAGTGGCCCGGTGACGTCACCGTCGCGGCAGCCCGGTCTTCGTAAACGTTTCAGGGTTCCGTAATACTTTGTCCGATGAGAGCCCTCTCGGATCAACTTTTTGTACGTTTTCTACATTATATTAAAAGTATAACATAATTTAAAAGTCGTGATAGCGACAGTGTCCGAGCGCTCGCTTTTAATTCAATATACTGAAATAACCTGAGTTATAATCCCGGTGCCGGCACCACTGGAATCTGCAATTAACATTAATAACGTACCAAACATCATATAACACAAACAAACATCGCGAAACCTGCATTTTTCTAAGTAATAACAAATAAAATTTCGAAGGTGAGATCCGCCACTCCGTAGAGTCGCGTAGTGCCCTAATACCCTCTCTACAGGGGAGGCATATACTTCTGGTTTTCGTCTGGTGAGTGAGGTCACCAGATACCACTTTATTCAAAGGTGGCAACGCGCCTGCAACCCTACGGGTGTTGCAAATGTTCATGAGTGCTGATTATCACTTAACAGGTGCATTAGTGCAGTGCTTAACATCAACTAGCCACAAAAAAAAAATCAGGTGAACTGCTCACCCGCCTGCTACCATCTTACATAAATAAACCAATATTTACTTTTGCTTGATTTTGTAATTTAAATTGCGACGGAATGTTACGGAACCATCAAACAACAGTATCCACCTAAATTTATTTACTTCTTCAACATGTCTAAATTTAGATACTGCTGATATCGTTTTTAACTTTGCCAAGCTTTGCTTAGGTTTCTATTTGCCTACTAATTCTTATAAAAAAGTTCCATAACTGAAGCGATCGGATTATGGAATGTCCCAGAAAGAACAAAATCTCGGCGGGAACAATGGCAAGTCGCGATGATATGTTCCTACTTTTACGTCTGCACTGGCTGCTAACCGAAGAACGACGATGATTAATGGATCACCACATACTGTTAAATTGGTCGTCTACAATGAGATGTCTGCAACGGGGAGACAAATCTGACAGCTTTTCGAGTCTAATTGCAATCAACGTGGCCAACGTAGCAACGTAGTACTTCGTAATATAAAAGTGAAACAATGTCGTAGTAAGTAGTATTATAAGTCTAAAAATATTAGGAGTCGCAAAATATTAGGAGTCTGGTCTTCGATTTTTTTCCTTCACAAGTACACGTCTCACACGGTATATGATGTCTGTTGACGCAATAGTAAATCTGTACGTTGATTCACAAAGAGTCGCAGATTTGATTTACCCGAGACATACATACGATTATTCTACACTTAGAGGTCTTTTAAATTAAATTAAAATAGAGTGGTACGTTGCCGGGTTGCCCCTTCAGAAGGAATTTTCTTCCTTTTTTTTCTTTGAACGAGTAATATTTCTTGTCATGAGGTTTTGTTTAAGTTAAAAGTTGGCAAACAAGTAGGCGGTGCAGCTGGTCTTAAGCGAATACCACTACAAGCGAAGACCATAGACATCTACAGCACATAACGGATTGCGGAACTGTTGCCAACATTATAAAGTTGACCTGGATGAGCCGATTCGTGCAACCGCAGAAGCTGCTTGCCCCTGCCACAGTAAATGTACAGTTAAAGTGAATACATCGAGCTCCTTAGAGGAGCTAAGCAGCTCAGTTAGCCTGCAGTTGTGCGCGTAATGGAGTCCGCCGTTTTTATACTAAGGATTTGCCAATGTTTTTTTCGATTTGGACATGGGTCGGAAGCCAGCATCTGGATTTAATTAGGGGACGCCCCAATAACTGCTCGTACCTGAGGCGGTCACCTAAATCTTAGTTAATTATATTGATTGTACTCATTCTACAATTCTCGAGTTAATTCAGCCGACCCGTTGTAACTGTCTTAGTTTCATAATAAGAAAACCCGAACGAATAGAGGTCCGAATTAAGTTTGTGACAGCAACAAGTTGATCCGCTATCGAACCGTTGCCATGCAAGTGGTCCTAAAGATGCTGGAAACCGTACGCGGAGGTATAATTATAATGTAAATTAAATACAATTTAATTTTAAAGTCCGAGATTTTTTTTACTCAAATATTGTCTTTCTGTGATGAATTCTTATCGTCAACATCACGGCTTTCTTCATTTTCATAGGCATGCTCAATCGTGTAACTAATTAAATATCTTCGAATAAAAGCTGATGATTGTAGGTTTAACCAATCAATAAAACGAATGGTCATCTTTGGATGTCTAGATATATTTAGTAAAACTTTAGTCAAAATAATTACGTGCCCAATTAAAGAATTACGATTGTATTTGCTTCGGATAGTATAGTTATAGGGGACCGAATTTCAGTCGCTATTTAAATATATAAAAACTTCATAAGAAAACTATAAATATCTTACAATATTTGCCTTCATTGCTACTTTCACAGTTACTTTGAAATGCGCCGTTGTTAGAGCATAAGGTCACAGGTTTGGATAATCTTAACATAGAGCCTGAAAATAGTTTAGAAAAAACATGTCAGTGTGACTAAAAAGTTTTTCGAGTTAATATTGCTCTTTTAGAGTTTTAGTCTCACTGACCGTTGAAATGTCACACTTGGATGTAAATCCCGTGTTTCGTTTTTCCGTTTTATCTTATGCATGTATATATGAAAGCTTCTGTTCTATAGTTTTATATCAATGTGTGATCTATTCTGATCAGTAATTTTAATTATGTATTATAAATTAGTTTTGTTAGTTTCGTTATAGTATGTTTCGCACTCGGTGTGCGTTTTTTTATTCTTTCTTTAAAAGTTGGCCTTGATCCAGGGTTTTTTTTTCATACGCCGAGCGAAACTCGGGCAATGTAAGATAAACCGCTAATCCTAGTCTGTGTGCGTTGTTCTATCTATTATTTGCGAACACACCAGATGCCGACGTTTGTTTACTGCACTCCTTACCATTATCGTTCGCACGTGTCTTGCGTTTTGAATCGTAACTAACCCATTGCATAGGATAAGACCAGAAGCATTAAATGGCTTGTAATTATTAAATATATTATTATGCAATTAAACTTTAATTTGTTGTCATGAAATTATTGTATGAGCATATTTTATATCTATTCATATATTATTTTAAAGTGGTTGTATTACTCATTTAAATGTATTAAAATTATATGTAATCGTTATTGTAATCCGATTGTGTTGCAATATAAGACAAACATGCGGCGACATTCCGCAAGTCAGTTACAAAACGTCGAAATCGGTGCGGTGACGTCACATCAATTCCCGCCTCGTGTTTACGGAACGAAGGCTTTTCATCTTCAATGTGATTTTTCCGCTCTAAGTCCTGGTCTACGGCTGACTCCATTAGCCAAACACCCCGCGTGAGCGCTCCTAGCGCGAACGGGAACCGTTCACGACGCTCGTCATTCCATGTTTCGCGCGACAACAATCCCCGTAACAGCTGGAGATCCGAAATATGCGAGACGTATATCCGAGGCGATCGGACGGACTCCTCGATGCGTATGATACAACTTTAGACGTATTTTTCTCAATTCGCAACGTTCCGTTTCTCCTTTCTCCTCACTTTTCTTCTCGGCAAAATAATCGGTATTGCTTATATCACGATAGTTGTAAATCACGTCTTTTAAATCAATAAGTAAGTGCAATGCTTCTTTATTGAATAAAGAAATTTGATTTTGAGTTCGAGTTTGAGTTTCACAATGATTTATTATTAGTTGGTTTAAATTCGCCGATTTTGATTTTTTGAAAAGCCGCCGGCGAGTGAGTGTATTTATCATGCAGCTACCGTCCAAAGATAAAAAAATAGTATAATTAGTAGAGAATTTCGCCGCACAATGTCACTGATTAGGGGTTTGAAATAAGAGATTATCACTGTTAAAAGCTCGGCTAGAAAGTAGCTGAAAGCCCAGACGATTGTTACTTTTATTTATTTTTTTACTTTTTTTTAAACTATGCCCTTACTTTAGGATAACATTATCCTGTGTTGTAAGGACGTTTTACATACATAAATTTCACGCAGACAAACACCCAGATGCGCAACAACTATTTGTGGGTCACACAAATAGTTGTCCCGTGTGGGAATAGGACCCACGACCTGTAACGCCGAAGCTTATACCTTGGCCACTGAGCCACGGAGTCATCATATGTATGTAACTATTTTGTTATTGCTAGAACCCCAGTTCCAAACCGAAGTCCCACTACAATATGACTCCGTTGTTTCAATTGCGACGGAAATTAATTTTGTTGACTTTTTTTCGGGGTACAATCGCTGATCCGTTTCGAATTTGATCTGTAAGAAGGCTAAATAGACGCGATCCATCTTTACCTCAATTTTTTATAGGTTTTTTTTATTTTTACCTGTAAAAATTAAAAAAAAACCCTGTCCTTTACCTTTTGTCGTCAGTTACACTTCTGATTCATTCCCCTTTAATATGTTGCTACAATTATGAAAAAATGTACAATTCCAGAAAAGTTTCCGCAGAAATGTTCGATGCTCCATGAGTTAATATAAAATAATTATTCAGATTATTTGAAATTCTATCTTGATTTAATTAGCGCTGTTTCTTTATCGCATATGAGTAAGCAAGAAGATATTGCCAGGAAAAAATCTCAATATAACTATTTCAAAAAGCAAATTTAAAGTCAGTTCTATTGAGTATAAGATCATATATTTGATGGAGCGGAGCGTGGCGGAAAGACGATGGGTGCAACGGGACAATCAAAATTTATCAATAACTAGTTGCCCAGGGAGACGTCATTTTTTTTTAATACAATTGAAACTTTCCGTGGACCTTATTAAAATTGTATTAAAGAACATACAAAAAAATAAATAAAATAAAATAAAAAAAGTGTTTCAGCCATTCTAGAGTTATGCCCTTACCAACATTCATTTTTATTTATTTATGACTATCATTATTTGGATACAATGTGGTTATTATTCTATCCTATTTAACTTCCCCATTTCTTTTTAAATTAGTTTTAGTTTTTATTTTATTATAATTTTTATTATAATTTTTATTTTATTAAATTTTCGGTGGTAGGGCCACGCAGCAGCCTCGGCTGTTGCACGAATGGGCAGGCCCGTCCGGGTAAGTACCACGACCTCACAGAAGACCGGCGTAAAGTGGAAGTATAACAAATACTTTCGCGTTTCGTCTGGTGAGTGAGGTAGTCGGAGCCCAATCTTCAAAAGGTTGTCAACGCATCTGTAACCCTCGAGTGTAGCAGATGTCCATGGGCGGCGGTATTCACTTACCATCAGGTGAACCGTCTGCCCGTTTGGCAACTTTTCACATAAAAAAAAAAAAAAAATTGATCAAGGTTTATTATTTGGATTCGGGTCATCACTGAAAACCAGCGATGTCATTTTTGGCAAGAATCACGACTCACAAAAGTCGAAAGGGAAAAATATATATAATGGAGGTTTACGTCCACGGTTTCTTTTTAATTTTTATTGTTAAAAAGGAGTGTTTAAAATAAAAATAATTAAATATTTTAGGACACATTTTCACACAACGTTCCCAAACGAAGCGACGCTTGTACTATGGGTACTAGATAACTGATAAACATATTAAAACATAATTTTCTTTTTTTTAATAAATAGGCACATTTTATATAAACACCCCGACACCAGAAAAACTATGTTCGTCACACAATATTTTTCCATTAGTGGGGATCGATACAATACCTTCTGGCGCAGAAGGCAGGCACGCTACCCACTACGCCATTCGGGTAGTGTGTACGTCGGTTTTATTGGTGTCAAATAAATCTTTTTCTTTTTTCCTTTCTATTACTATGTTACCGAGTCTATAGTAATATTATCTTTATATACATAATTCTTCTGTACGTGTGTATGTCACTGAACTCCTCCTAAACGGCTGGACTGATTTTTATGAAAATTTTTCTATTTTTCTATTCATAAGTTGTTGTGGGATTTAAGTTGGTGTACAGGAAAAAGTCTGTCGGGTCTACTAGAAATGAATAATTCCTTTTCATAAGATTATTTTAATTAGATAGAATTTACTATTGATTTTCAAATAATATTGTATTTTATCGCGCCACGGACAATGATACAGACAATTAATGTAGACACCAAGCAATAACGAACGCAATTTTAGGAATAATTAATTTTTTACACAATCAAACTCTCGCACACAATAATTCTCTTTTTCTTCGCGTAATTCATCCTATTTCTAAAAATAATGTGGAAAATCTTCTGGAGGAAGTCTTCTGCTTTTTATATCATCGTCTTTTTGTCGTTTTCGATGAGATGAGGCGTTTCATGAGATTCGTAGAGTTCAAATTTACTCATCGTAATTACACCGCCTCGGAATACAATGAAGTTTGGCTCTGTCATTGTATTCTGCTGAAAATATAATTCCGCCCGAAACGCTGCAATTGTTCTGCATGATTACTTTTAGTGTTTGCTTTTAAATTCAATCTTTACTCGAAGACGTCTTAAAGGTGAAATCTAACGGAAATAAACTTTTTATGTAGTACGACCTTAGAACCTGCCTGCCTGAGAAATTGAAACATTCCTGTTGTAACCGAATTCGCGTAACATCGGACGAAAACCTATATTTTCAAACGTTTCAGTGATATTAGACGTACATAAAATTAGTAATAATAAAAAAGAACATATTGTTATTCTCAAATTATAATTACAGTAAATTCTGATAATTTCGTTAAAGTAGACTTTGTCAACGATTGTGTTATATTTAATAAATTTGTTTAAAATAAATATCGAAGTGCATATTTTTATTGCAGCAAAAAAGTGGTAGACGGAGCTGAGGATAATAGAAGCATCGTTTAATGCAATTGTTCCCAGTTTTAATCCAAATTAACGTGTATTTATCTTTTTGCTCCCGCCCTCCCTTTTCCCGTCGGCTTTCTTATTTAAATTCAATGTTCCTATTTTCTGTTAAATCTAGTAAGGCCAATCGGGCAAGCTAGATTTAATAGTAACTGAGAGCACTACAACATGTTTCATTGCTATTTTGTATTTTCCGTTCTTCAGAAATTCTTCTCGAGTCCGCTGATATCCCTTTTTACATAATAATGTAGATTACAGACCATTTCCTCTGTTTTCTTTTTAAGTTGTAAAAATTATTAGATTATTAATTCGTAGATTAAACCATGGGAATTGTAATATTTTTTTTAAATAACATTTTTTTAATAATGAAGTAATTTTAATTAGTAAAAAATTATCTGTCGTTCTTCGCGCGATTATACACATTTTATTATGCTTTATAGTAAGTTTTTCGTGAGTAAACTGACCGGATAGGTGGCTACATGCAATAAAGAAAAGAGGAAATGGTAAATAAGTCACAGAAATGTTATATTTCAAACATTCGTAGGAATATAAAATTATATATAAAAAATATAAAATTTCTATAACTTTCGCGAGCTTTAAACGCACGGCGTGAGCAAATAGCTGATGCAAGGACACACTGATTTCGACAAAAACTTTTTTTCTTATTTAAGTGTTAAAAGTTACGGGTTTCGCGGAAGTTGCCTTGAAGTTGTGCAACAAAGGTAACAATTTTCGTGCTTCAAGGATGTGAATATTTGAGTCTGCACAAAGCCGGACGGCAAAAGCTCCACGTTGAGTGTTCAGATCATCGTAGAGCATCACTCTCGGCTTATTAAAATTTGCAAGTTGGAGGGACCGGTTCATCGCAAAGCAGGAACGCTGTCAAGACCGTTAAAATCGTCGCGTCGCATCTTTCGCAGGATTTGCTCGCGCCGCGCGGGCACCGGCAAGAAGTTTTCGGCAACTTCGCGGATACTTACAGCGTGTGGGTGTCAGTGGGAGTCTTCGGGACAGCGAGCAGCCCCCGCTGGATACACTCGACCGAGTTGCGGTCGCACAGGCATTTGTTCGGGCAAGGTATCTCGCACAGGGCGTACGAGGCTAACGCGAGGATCGCGAGAGGCTTGAGCAGCGAGTGCATTTTGAGGGTGCGCGCGGCGGGTACTGTTCGCTTGTCGTCGCGGGCGACGGTCGGCGAGCGAATGAGCTGGACGGGCGGGAAGCCGTCTTTTATAGGCGCGGCCGGTGTGCGGGCGGAAAACGGGCGGATCCAGCGGCGTCGTGCCGTCGCACTCGCTACTGCTTTGGCGCGGCGGCGTCGATGGGGCGGGAAATGCTGCGCGTCACGGTCCGCCATGGTGGATTCGCCGGTTGCGGGAGCGGAGCGGCGCGAGTTTCCCTAGGCTCGCTGTCGTTCGTCCGTCGACGGGTGCCGGTTGGCGGGTCTCACAAGCACAGGAGCCGCGCGGTGGACCTAGCAAGCGTCTTGCCTGTATATCTGTTGAGCCGATTATAATGCTGCACTGCCTTGATCTTTGCCCGGGAATTGAACTCGTCGACGTTCCGTCTTAGTCTCGGGCGGCCCTCGAGCCCGGCTCGAAGCAGCTCACCGGTGGCGGCTAAATCGCCGGCACCCATTAAACTCTAGTCAGCCGTCGGCAGAAAATTAAGGAACAGGGGCGCTTAAATGCTGCAGTTTAATTAGTAACAACACACAACACCAATTTTGACATGGCCAATTTTGACACAACCGCGACGCCCTATGTGACTGTGGTTCGTAACCCTATGGAGTCGCGTTTCTGAAAATACAGTTGTGCGGCTGAATTGCGTGCACCCGTCGGTAACTTGAAGTACATATCCATTTCTCTTTTAGACTTCTAAATATACAAACGTTAGATTTATAGGTTTTAATTTTGGAAAGTTTGTAATAAACAAAGGAATAAACTCTAAAAAGCTTGCGAATTTATGTCGTTTCGTTTTTTCTCTTCTATTTGATTAAGTTTGTTTGGCGGCAAATCGCTACCCGAACTTCTTCCGATTATGTCCGTAGCGATCCGGTCACTGTAACGTGTCTTTATAGTAATGGAAAATATGAAACGATGTACCTACATTTTTTTTTAATTCGAATAGGACAAATTAACGATACGATCAACAATATTATTTACGTTAATATCACAAGCAGGAGAAGATTTGAAAAATGTACAAACAACAAACTCCTGGATGGATGTTATTTTCGAGGCAGTGTATCTGTTTCAAATTTCACATTTAGTTACTCGAACATTCTAATACCGATATACTTTTGTAGTGAACGAGTAAACTGATGCCGGATGGTAAAATTACAAGTGTTTTATGATCCTTCGCGGGCGAACATTACAAGAACATCGAAAGTCCATTAATTATTTATTCGTTAAGGAAAGGTATATCGTCACTGAGCATAACACATGTGTGCTAACGGTGGAGCGAAGCCCTACTTCTAAAGAAAACGTTAGCTTGGATGTTTAACGGAGTGGACAGCTATGTACTTCTCTATTGCTTTTTATGTTCAAGCGTTAATCACTTAAATTATTCTCTGATCAATATTAAAAAACGCTAAACAGCTTACGACATACAATTATTTGTCATCCGTGGCCGGTGGAAGTTAGTGTCGCACATTTATCTTGTTTCGACATACCTCTTCAGCATTAAAATGTCATCAACACGATTGTTTCTTTAAATTACCATGTAGTCGAAAGTTTTCGATCCTAGACATGCTCACCGAAGGTTCTGCTAAGACGGTCTAAAGATTAAACGGAGTTAAAGTCGCTTCAAAATCGATCAAAACATATATATTTTAATAAGGGTCATTTAACGGTTTTTCCATGACTTTTAGATATATCAAACACAGTATTTTATGATATGGAGGAGGATAAGCGAAAGATGATGCATTTGATGCTAAATGATGACCGCCGCCCGTGAACTTCGACACCACTTGAGGATTTTCAAGAAGACAACCCTTAAAAATAGTGAGTTTCGGTTACCTCAGTCACCAGACTTTCTCGACAGTATAATACTTTAAATTCACGCTAGTCTTCTATGGGGGCGTAATTCCCGGGACGAGCCTTGACCAGATATTTCTTTTCTTCGTTTTACAACAAAGATATGGAATTATATTGTCCATATATTTCTATAAATTTCTTAAAAAGACGTACATATAGCTACATGAAAACCTCTCAATAACGAATAGTCGATTGATATAAGAACTAATATATGAAAATGAAATATACACGGAAATATAAATACAAGGAATATAAGTTTCACTTTACTGAATGTTTACCTTTTTTTGTATAATTTTAACTACCTGCATTTATACACCATACACAGTATAACGGTGTCCTTAATGTTTTAAATAGGTTACTGAAAAAAGGTACAATATTTAACCAATCCAAAGCGCTGTAGTATTTTCATATGTAATTACGTATATTAACAATAAAGTATATTTTTATTAACTGTTATCGAATAATTGAATTAAGTTGTGAAAGGGCAAACTGTAGTTACCTTTTGTTCAGACAGCTCAGTAAGTATTTGAAGTCACCCTGATATTGTTAACGTTGTAATAGCCGAGACGAAACTTCAAGTTTTCCGTTTGGATGGCTTGACACTTGTTGGTTCCGACGGGCTTTGGAGCGTTTTAGTACATTAACGCCTAGCGTCGGCGCGCAACGAGGCCCCAAATTCAAATAATTGATATTAAATTCGTGTAGGAACATGCGTGAATAAATTGACAAGGAATCAAGTAAAACGCTTGCTGATTCTTACGTACTTAATTTATTAATACTACTATACTTTCTGTTATGTTTGTTCGTCAAGTAAACATTTATTAATGGAACAATTTAATTACTAAATACATAAATAAATAAATACTAAATTCAAAAATATATGTGTATTTTTAGTAAGATTATCTATTTTTTTATTAATGGATTTATTTTAGTCCACATTTTAAAATGTAATTTGTTATTTTATGTGCTTTATTTGACTTCTTTATAAATTCGATATGTACTGACAATAGCAATTCTGCTGATAATAGCTAAGTATATACAATTTTAGTTTCATGTTTTTTGTTACTTGTAATTGTTAACATACAATTCTTTTTTCAATACGTTTACCGGAACTACTTTTAAGACGCCTCTTCGCGTTCTTTAGAGCGGGAGAAGAGCGAGGAAGAAGTGAAATGACAAGGAGCCGAGTGAGTACTGCGGCACAAAGGCATGACAAGGATTAATTTTTTCATGACAAGGATTAATTTTAGAAGTCATTTAGAGACATTTCTGGTGGAATGTGAGTTTTCATTCAAGATTACACCAAGGTGTAATGAGGTCAATGAAGATGGTCTTTTACTTCGGCGCAGTAAGGGAGAATTGAAATGGAAATCAAAAAAATGTATTTTAATAGCTAAGGGATTTTCAGACGGAAGTGACGGTCTAATGGAAGCAGAATAATCAAGTTTTTATAGAATGAAGATGTTATAGGTTGTTATTTTATCAACTTGAATTGAGAGCTACCCGGCTTCTTCTGTCGCGCAAGATTGACTATAAACACAAGGTCAGTACCATCACAACAGAAGCGATGTAATTGCCGTAAAAGAAAGAGAGAAGGTCCAAGGATGCTGCTGGATACCAAAAGAGACTGGGCTCAGTCAGATTTTTCTCTCATTTCAGTCAGATTGCTCTGACAGGTTGCTACAGAACTATTTATGGGAATTGCCTCTCATATCACATAAAAGTACAACTCAAAAGAAGTTGGACTCAATAGTAATTGAGTCAGACGCCTTTGCAAGATCTAGAAAGATGCCTATGCATTTTGAGCCTTTATCAGTATGTCACGGTATTAACTAAATGGATTACTCTGTAGATCTACCGTAGTGACGATTCGTGAGCTCTTTGTTTGTTTGTAATAAAGATACAAATCATTCGTCAATTATTCGCTTTAATAATTTAGAAACACTCCCCAGAAGAGAAATCGGGCAGTAGTTACTTGGGTCATCCGTTGGCCAGTCAATCAGCTGGTGTTATTGCAGCACTTTTTGTGAAATACTTTATTCAATGCATAAATTAAATAACTTTGAGGATTTTTTTATTTATGTCATCAAAACCATGTGAACTAAGTCTAAGACGAGTATTAGCGGATCGATCGGTGTGTTAGGGAAAGAATTTATAAGCGCCTTTTAATTTGTACTTTCTGTGCGATTGATTCTTGAGTCTCTTTCTGGTACTTATGCGAAAAAAAAACTGGCGATTTATCGCAATCTCATTTTCTTTCTCCTAGATGTCTTCTTCAATAGTGTAATAGGGATAAAATAATAGTACATCTTAAAAATAACTAACGCCCGGTCTCTGAAACACTGATCTCTTAGAAATTAAGTAATCAGCCGTCACATGGCTTTTAAAATGTCATTTGAGTTGCCAAAATTATGGTTAAACGCTTTGAATTGATCATTCTGATCAGTGAGAAGATCATTCTGATCAATTCAGAGTGTTTCATAAGTCAGTAAATATATTAAAATTTCTTTGACAATTTCATTCAATAATTATGCTTGAGCATCATTAATTATTTTCAGCCGTTGTACATTGAGAAGTCATGAGTTTATGATTACATGCGATGGCATATTTTAATAGCATACCTACGTCGGGGCCATTTACTCGCTGCCATCCCCTTTATAAAATATAAAAACAAGACTTTGAACAAGTATTTATATTATAATTGTAATTTATGTAACGCATTATAATAACTTTGCTGGCGGAGATAACAGAATATATTGAAGAATATGAGCCGTGTCTTAATATATTTGTTTATGATACATACTCTGAGACGGGATGAAAATCTATTAAGAATTCAGTTTGTGAACTTTGTTATTTTGTAACTTCTTTTTATTATTCGCGGACATTATTTTAGTAGAGTAAATTTTAGCTTATTTATTTATGCGGTGATTACGTACTTTGTGTTATTTTGGATAACCTGCAAATTTCTTATCTTCTTTCAATCTTCTTATCAACAGTGTATAGAATAAAAGATAAGGCTAAGATAAAGTTTTAGAACAAATATGTATTTAGAAGAACTTTTAGTTTTCGCTCAATGCAAATTATATGCATCAAGAAGAAAACCTCTAACACGAAAATGTTAAAGTTTTTCTACTTAATTTGAGACTTCTGTCAAAATAGTTTAATAATATAATATAATTTACGTTCTTTACGAATTATCTCCTACTTAGAATAAAAAATAGTCTTTGCTGGACTACACGAAAAATGCTCTCGTAGCAATTTTAGCGTTAAATAAAATGCAAAATTCATAATATATTCAAGATGCGAGTGGAATCAGTTCTCT